TTTTTTTTTTTTTTTTTTTTTTTTTTTATTTAGCTACAAACTAAATGTTTAGTTTGTTAAATAAATATTTTATTTGGAAATATTTATTTTAAAAAACTAAATATTTAGCTCCAAACTAAATATTTATTTAACAAACTAAACATTTAGTTTGTTAAATAAATATTTAGTTTGCAAATGAAATATTTAGGGTTTTTTTTTTTTTTTTTTTATATTTAGCTACAAACTAAATGTTTAGTTTGTTAAATAAATATTTAATTTGGAGCTAAATATTTAATTTTAAAAACTAAATATTTAGCTCCAAACTAAATATTTATTTAACTAAGGTTTTTATAAATTAATGAATGACAGTGAAAAGGTGACTTGGAAAAAAACGAACCTCCTAATTAATCTCTTAAAATTCGCTAAATAACCATAAATATTGCTCCTAATTTCTGACTGCTGAACTTTACAAACAGCGCCCCCTATCTAATCAGTCAGAAGATGCGAGCATTAAAGGGCCGACACTCAAACAGGAAAAACCTTCCAATAGGAATCCTTCCTTCTGTCTGTGATCTGATTGGTCCTGGTGTGTTTCAGACGTTTGATGAGTGCGTATCAGCGGGCGGCTCAGACTGCGCTCCTGAGAAACTCTGGCTGCAGATCCCCTTCTTCTGTGGTCACTATTCTGAATGTTGGTGAGTTGCCTTCATTTCCGTCCTGATTTCCTCTTTGGTAACATCAGGTTTCCATGGCGATCCGTTGGTCGCAGCTCCGTTCTTAAACAGCTGAATCCAGACATCAACATTCAGTCCTTAAAATGACAGCAGCTCTTATTCCTCCATCTGACATTAACTTTATTGAGCCCAAAGGGAAAAGCATAGGATAGAGTATTAGCGCCGGGATAGACATTTTTTTTTTTTTTTTTTTAAATACGAGAATAAAGTCCTAAAATTACAAGAAACAAGTTATATTTTATGAGAACTCTTACCAGAATCCCTTTGATCCCTAAAATAAGGAATGTGGAGCATCATGAAGTTCTACTTTGGTATCAGTTTCAATAATAAGGAAATTTTATGTCTTTTAGCATCAAATTATTATCAGGATCAGAACTTTGAAACAACTTGGTCTGTATGGAAGAAAGGATGCTGGGAGCTTTCTTTCTGAAACGGGTCGTGATCTCCTAATTTTATGACATTATTTTAATATTTAAAATAAAACATCTCTAGCCATCGTAATACTCCATCGTAGGAATGAAATGTCGCAGTAACTCGTATGTTTTTGTTGTATTTTTAACAAGCTGTGTTAGAGGCTGATAGCTGTAGGGAGGAAGGACCTTTATGATGCTAAAGGAAGTCCCACAGCAGGACAGTCAGCCGCTGTTCTGTCAGCTCAGCATACGGCGTCAGACCAGCATACCCTCAGTAATCCGCATTACATAGTTTCCTGTCTCCGCTCTCCTTACAGCCAATCACGCTTTTTTATTTCATGATTTAGTCCGATTTTTGTTGCAGTTTTGTGCATAAAACAAAAAAAGCCTCCCTCACTAGGTAAACCTCACACATTAGCTTTAAAAATAACCATTTTAAGTCAGTTTGAAGAGGATCTTGTTATCCTCTCCAAACCCACCGGGTCGCCTGCGAACCGATTTAAAGCGTTTACAACTAATAACTCAGAATGCATGAAAATTCCAGCGGTAAAATGTTCACCAATATAGATGTTAAATCTTTGGAAAGCTTAGATTCTCCACTATTCAACCACCAAGTTCATTTTATGGACACAGTGGGCAGAAAAAGCCCAATTAACACAGATATAGCAGCATGTCAGAATGTAAACAAAGCAGCCACAACAAGGAAGCAGGTCTTTATTACTGCTGTTCAAAATAGACCTATTATTTTCAAGAATAAAAAACAACTTTGAGTCAGGTTTGAACTGATGCAGCTTAGACTGTGTTTGACTCACCCAACTTTCTTTTATATATTCAGAAACTAGAAGGTTTTAGCTTTCAGATAGTGTATCACACGTCATTTGGTTTACAGTTCCTCAGTTATTTCTAGGGATGCACGATATTGGGATTTTGGCCGATATCCGATATGCCGATATTTTAAAACTCATGTAGCCGATAACCGATATCGATACCGATGTTAAAGCTAGACAGAAATAAGTAGTCATTGAAAATTGCAGTTTTGTTATTCATTTCTGACACTTTGAATAATA